ATTCCACCTGCTCAGCCTTTCTCTGCCACCACTTGTCCTGCATTTCTCGTAGTTCTGCCTGTACTTTGGACTGCAGATGTTTAAACTTGTCTTTCTTTGAGACAGATGATGGATCATTTTGCCAGTCTGCATAGGCCTTGTTCTTGGCCTGGAGGGCTGTTGAAATGGTTTCGTGGTTTTCATCAAACCAGTCTTGGTGTGCCCGGGTTTTCTCTCCAAGTACAGTTGTTGCAGTCTGCATGATGACATCTTTAAACTGCATCCACTTTTCAGAACAGGTTCCTACAAGTGGCAAATTGCCAGAGAGTTTTTCATTAAGTACATCTTGAAAATGTTAAACTTGGCTTGGGTCTTGCAGTCTGCCACCGTTAAATGACTTTCTGACAGCCCTTGGTTGCTTATGATGTAAGGAGGCCGTGTGCAGTTTGAGAACCGACCGGACCAGCCTGTAATCTGTCCAGCACTCAGCACCTCGCATGGCCCAGGTAATGGTGACATCTTTAAGATCGTGCTGATGTACTATGACATAGTCAAGTACGTGCCAGTGTTTGGAGCTGGGATGCATCCAGGTTGTTTTGTACTTGTTTGCAAGTCTGAACATCGTGTTAGCAATGCACAGGTTTTGCCCAGCACACTTGCTCAGAAACAGCAGGCCATTACTGTTTAGTTTTCCCACCCCGTGGCTCCCACGGACTCCGTCCCTGTTGTCGCTGTCTGTCCCCACCCTAGTTTGAAGTCACCCAGTATGACGAGTTTGTCACTGGTGTGCATTGTTTGAATAATCTGGTCCAGGTCCTTGTAGTAATCTTCCTTGTCTTTGTGTGGACCCATGAGAGTTGGTGAATAGACGCTGACAATGGCAATGTACCGGGACTTGCTGAGAGGAAAGCAGAACTTCATAATCCGTTTATTTGTTCCAGTGGGTAGAGATGTTTTTCAGTGGAGCAGTTCTGATTGCAAAACCTACTCTATGAGTCCTGTTGTCAGTCTGTGGTTTCCCTTTCCAAAAGAACGTGTATCCACTTGCTGCTCCCTGTAACGAACCCTCTTCTGCCAGCCTGGTCTCACTGAGTGCAGCGATGCCAGCGCTATAACAGTTCGGCTGCTATGAGTGCTGTTCATCTTTCAGGCCCTGACACCCTGTCTCTATCCAGCAAGGTGCAGACATTCCAGGCTCCGAAAATGAGTTTTCTTTGATTTGACATACTATGACTGCTAAGGAGATGATCTGCCAGCTGCGGTTAGCTGGCCAGATGTTGTGGGCAGGCAATGTTTGGGTTCCTTTTCCAACCCCCTCCCTCATGCGAGGGTGGGCAGTGCTATCCTAAAAAGGGCTGCCCAGTCACCCTGGATGCTGCCAGATGTCTCGGCTGCCCCGGTGCTGAGACAAACGACCCTTGGTCCAAAGGCTGCCCACCTGCAGGTTTGTGACTACAACTGCTAGTGGTCCCCTCTCCCTGTTTTTTCGCCACTCCCCCATTGCCACAGGGTTCAACGAATTAGGTTTGGACTGAGATGAATTGCAGATGGGTTGTAGATGACGATGAAGATGAATCACCCAACAGAAACTTGTGCGTGATGGAGTTTTAAGCGGAGCAGCCTCTGCACAGGGCAGTCCCACTCTCTCGGCATAACAGACCTTAGTCCACTGGCATGGAGAACTGTTATGGCTGGAGACTTTTCCTGCTGCAGTGGGTGACCAGGATGTCTAAGTGTCCTGTTGTGCTCTTAGCGCTCCACAAGGCCTGCTGGGCCTGCCTTCTTGACCATTGGACCATTGATTGGTCTCCTCCACCCAGTGAAGACCCGTCGGCTACCCTCACCTGGTTTGGCCTGTCTGCCGAGATGGTTTACCGGGGTGTGGCCGCTGTGCATGCTGGAGCCATGAGTGAGAGCTGAGTGCCAGGTGGGGACCAAAGGTGAACAGGCAGCCTAAAAAGGGCACGGCAGGCCCCTCCACCAGAGGTGCTACCCCTCCCTGGGCACCCCATACTTAA